CTGATAATAACTCTAATACGCTTCCAGCACAATACACAATACTTTTAAGAAAGGAACTCAAGAAACATTAATTAATTAAATATTCATATTACCCATTTGTAACATAGCATAGATAGTCTCAGATTTCATATCACCTACTTCATTTTAGCGTCCTTTATAGAATCATTTATATACACCCGTCGAAGGCTATAGACTGATAGCCGAACGCTCGTAGAAATAAATATTAAGTCAGAGAACGTTCAATAAATAATGTTTCAACCTGTCTACGCATCCTCTATTTTTTCGGTTAAATTTAGTTAACAAAACTTTAGTTGTCCGATGATTGTCTGTAAACTCAGGCATGAAACTCTGAGTAACAACGTTTGTTTTGTACTTTATTTCATAAAGTACTGAGCACTCTATATTATATCAACAAGGGCAGATTTCGTTTCAAGCCAATCAGCGCGTTTGTTGACATTTTCGCTCTCGGCCAATCAGAATTCAAAGCTTTACATTTAAAAACATGAACAAAAAGAGCGAGAAAATATTATCGTAATCTAAGGCTTCCGTGAGCTACAGTATTAACTTTTTTATCTGAAACCGAAAGATTCTAATAGAAAATACATACATCTTGAATTTTGTCGTCGGACTTTTTAAATTCCGACACAGAACGCGAAATATCGATGTTTGAATTGCCACCGTGATTGCGGTCTGTAGCTGCATAATATTTATCTATCAAATCGATCAATCTTTGAGAATCAGTTTTCATTAGGATTTTGTAGGTATTTTCCCGTGTTATAGTGCATGCATATGCTGATATAATTTACTGCACCGTACCTCAGATCGTGATCCGGAAATGCGTCAAAAAGTTAAATTGGGCGTGATAAAGTCTTATGTTATGTCATATCCTGTGTCTTGTGATCGTTTTCGTCATTTCGTGCACGCTGTTTACTAATACTCGAGCTGTTTAATTAATTTTGTCCATAAATACGGTATTTGCTTGTTGGTTTAATGAGGAAACATCAAAACAGTACGTATAGACAAAGTGCCAGTGGAAATAGATGGAACCATTTTGCGTCAGTGTCGTTTCCAATGTCGAATTCGTTGCAGCAATGTATCGATTATAATTCTTCTGGCTGGATCTCGTCATCATCGTCGTCTGTTTCGCTTTCCTCGTCGCTTTCTGAGTCTTCTGCCTCGTCTTCGTTCTCCTGCAACGTCCCTCTCAGATCGTGGTTGAAAACCGCCTCGTTCGCTACCTTGCCAAGAACCACTAGCTTTGTCAGCAATGTCGACTGACAAATTTGGCAAACACTTATGTCAGGCAAAACGCATTCAATGTGGAAAGAATGACCACAACCAGGAAATACTTTCCACAAAGGGCTTTCTTTCTCGCATTCAGGTAAATCACATTTTCTATGACGTAAATAAAGCTTAATTAAAGACGAAGTACTAAGTTACTTGTAACCTAGCTATTTAGACTGTCTATCTGTCCGAATTGTTTTTTTAGATCTTTGTTTCAAGAATTTGAAATGTTTGTTTCTAGGTCCCTTTTCTTTCATTTTGTATAAAATTAATGAAATTTTCTATAAATCCTTCAGTTTTTACATACACTTTGCATGGTGTGTTCTAAAAATCAAAAATTGGAACAATATAATTAGAATAATTTGAGTACATTTTCAAACATTCTTTTATTTTGTAACAAGTACTATATTTGTATGTTATTTCAGTTATGTTTCTCTTGAATGTGGAAAATGGTTAAATAAAAAGGATATGTAATGTTAGTTTTGTATAGCCTATTTCAGTTTAACCATTAAACCACAATAAAATACACTGCTGTCAGGCAATTTTACTCAACATCTAGGTGAATGTCTTGTGGTTTAATGGGTTAATGAAACAATCTGCCAACATGTATTGTTATCCAATAAAATTTATTATTTTACTATGTCTAACACCAAATGATCCTACTCATCAAGTGGATCTAGTGTTGCACTTTGGTTTTGTTTGACAGCTAGCATTCACAAACAGAACACTGTGAGCATGTTGCCCCTCCCCCGTCATAATCCATATATTGATATTTTTCCATTTACCTGTTTGGATTTGGTGCTTGTTGAACAGAAGTAAAGCCAAATGGCAAGACTCGATTGTTCACAATTTTTTCTCCAAATAGAGTCGGTGGTTTCCATTTGGTCGGGTATTTGGGTTGCCGTCGAACTCGGGGTTGCTGGGTTGCCATGTTAGGGTGGTCATTTAGGGATTCAAACTTGCTTGCGAGAAATTTTGCAGCCTTTGCCTTCAACGTATTAATTCTCTTTGAGCTATAGTTGAATCTCTTAGTTGGCACAAAGACAGACTTAAAAGAATGCAGTTCATGCTTGCATGCGTCAACCTCTTTTGTTTTGAAAGCAATCTGGTCAGCTGAATCTGTTTCTTTTGTTCTTGCCCTTACGACCGAGTGGAAATTTTCGATGGGATATTCATCGAATGCCACAATATACTGTCGCACAATTTCAAACATGGAGTGGGTATTTTCTTGCCAGTGTTGAAGCAGGGACAGGGTTACAAGCAAGGCTTTATTGTAGTGATGTCTGCGAAACACCACAAACATGATCCAACAATGCAACAAGGACTGGCAATAAAGATCATAACTGTTACACTTGAACACAATTGAATAAATGCTCAGCACAAGAGGAACATAGTTGTCAAGCACTCAATATCCTTGCACTTGCCAAAAACTGAGAGATTGTGTCCCTGACAAGTGTCCATCCTCCATAAATAACCTCTACCAATAACGATATGCGCCAAGCTTTGGGTTTCTTTGCCAACTTTGCTTTTTTCCCAAACAGGAATCAATCTGCAAATATTTCATGAAATATCAGCAAAACACATTCTCTTGCATTTAGGGAAATGTGCAATAGACCAATGAGGGGAACAATGTCCTGAAGAGCTGCTGGTAGAGATGGTACATCAGAGTAGACCAATCTTCGAATGGAGAATTGCATTGGCCAATCACCAACAAATGGAGCAACGAAGTGATCTAGGTATAGTTGTAGTCCACCAGATAGCATTTTGTTAATTGCTGTTAGAACATTCTCGCATGACTTTAGTGGCAATTCAATCCTGTCAACAAGTTTGGTGTTATCCATACGTCTCATCTCTTTTACTTCAGTTTGTTGATAGTCGTGAACTAGCAATCTTTGACGCTCGGACTCTGGATTGAAATATTTGGCCACCACCCAGTCAGGTATATATTCTGCATATGTCTTGGAAACATTGTGCATGTTGTTTGTTATGAAGCATTTCATGCTGGGAATTTCAACTGGGGATTTCGGTAGCAAGTTAATTCTCTCTTGGGACACTGCTTTAACGTTGGGGAACACTTTCAAAAGCAAAGTGGACATGTGTATTGCATTTGTTTGTGTCTTGGACTCGGGCCGATGCATGGTGTGGAAGTTGTGGTAGTCATCGATACAGAATATCATGAACAGATTGTTTTCTACTTCCGATTCAATAAAGTTAACGACATGATTTGAATGTGTTGATGAAGCAACTTTGCTTCGGCTTTTACGGTGTGAGGATGGGCAGCGATACCGAGATTTCGGAGGGACTGAAGTCCTTGTTCAGTGATACCAAACTGTTGAAGGGTTCTCGACAAGGCTCCTTGAAATGAGTTGAATCTTTGGGACTGTGAATACACCATGATATAAATAATAACCATTGTCCGAAGTTTACTAAGCTGTTTGCGTTCAGTGGACATTCTGTTAGAACATATAGCATTATTTATACAATTATAGAGATTCTCAGCACCAGCATCCCTGCAAATGCTTTCAAAGGCAGTAGGATCCATTTCTGGTTCTGAGAAATGATAAATATGAGACCGGATTTTAATGAGATTATCACTGAAATTAGGACAAAATGATGCTTTCTGGAGTAAAGAAGCATACTCTTCTATTGAGAGGAAAACACCGTCCATTGTTTGGCACTCTTTCTCGGCAACATTTGGTAACTTAGTTGGTGAACGGTCTTGGCTATCCATGGTAATCATATGACTTGGTGAACTCAAGGTGATTGTTGTTGTATCACTTTTTTGACTGTTTGGTACTTTTTCTAGAGTTTGTAGATCTACATTTTCTGGACTTCCAGAGAACTCACCAATTTCTATCACTGTGTCACTACATTGGCTATTGGATTCTTCTCGATTATCATCTGATTGTTGACTGGGCTCAAGGTATTCAGTGAAGGTCAAACATTCTGGAGTGACCAACTATGGTATGATACAGTAGAATATACATTTTTATAGTCCAGTATTACATACTAGAGTGAGTCATTACATTACATTTTCAAAGTTATGCAAGGAGAGGGTAATTGTAGTAATTATTAAATAAAATCAAGAACAAAACCAGAATATACACAATTATCATTAAAACTGCAGAGACTGATAGTCGAAAGTATCAGAAATTCTGATACCTTTGAAATCATCTATACCTCAAATATCATTAAAACTGCAGAGACTGGTAGTCCAAAGTATCAGAAATTCTGATACTTTTGAAATCCTCTATATACCTCAATTATCATTAAAACTGCAGAGACTGATAGTCGAAAGTATCAGAAATTCTGATAGCTACCTTTGAAATCCTCTATACCTCAAATATCATTAAAACTGCAGAGACTGGCAGTCCAAAGTATCAGAAATTCTGATACCTTTGAAATCCTCTATACCTCAAATATCATTAAAAACTGCAGAGACTGGTAGTCCAAATTATCAGAAATTCTGATACTTTTGAAATCCTTAATATCGCAAATATACCTAAAATTGCAGAAATTGGTAGTCGAAAGTATCAAAAATTCTGATACTTTTGAAATCCTTGAGAGATATCTCAAATGTACCTAAAACTGCAGAGACTGGTAGTGCAAAGTATAAAAAGTCTGATACTTTTCAATTAATTAATTTAATTTAATTTATTAGCTTTGCCTTGTAAATAATTATAATACAATTAATGGCAGGGAGTCCGCAACAGCGCTTAGCCAATTACTACGGCCTCAATATTTAAACCACTTATATCTCAGATGTACTTAAAACTGCATAGACTATGATTTCTGATACTTTCGTACATACAAAACGGATTGCAAAATTATAGTTGGTCACCAAATTATCAGAATGAACATATTAAATATTATATAAATTGTATATTTTTGGTGAACGTTCTCATGCAGCAAAATACATATAATATTGAAAATTCTGAAATTTTTAAAAGCGGATCTATATATTTTTAAAATTTGCTTACTGGATGTCAAACGTGTGAGAAAATCTAAATATCTACAATTATACTGAAAAGTTAACCTCACCCACATATTCTGCAGCATTTCACGTCGGGATCTATTTACAGTACGTATATAATACCAATTTCACTTGTTTGTATTCTCCTTCCGCCAACGCTTAAGGAATCTGCGAGTGTTTTCCTGAATTTCCACTTTCATCGAAAAGAAAGTTGAATACAATAATAGACCGCTTTGGCAAGGTGTCGCTCCACGGTATTTTTTCCTTATTCCTTGTTAGAAGGTGGGGTTGCCATGACAAATAGTTATTTTTGCATATTGCCTGTGTTATATATTCCGCATTATGAAGGGAAATATTATTCTCCATTGCTAGCTTGTTTGTTGTCATAACGATCCTTTTTTATGAGTTCATAAAATGATTGTTTTATATTAATGCTTGACAGTCACAGAATGATTGTATATACTGTACAATTACCTAACGACAAGCCAGCATTTTCCATCAGTAATTACTGTCAATCCAAGTGCGAATTTTTTCAAGTGACAGACAGATAAGTACGGATTTTATTTTTAATACTGTGACTGGAAATTGGGGCTGCATACATGTATTTCATGTATTATATACCTCTTCAAGTGGGGCTGGTTCCTTTTCCCTGAAATAAAGGTTCACCGTGGGTTGTTCATAGATATCTTATATACACTAGATAGCGCATCTCTTTTAGTAAAATTGAAGCCAAGAATATTCCAGCGGTTACCCCCATTTAAATAGATGGCGGCCATGTTGGTCGTTCCCACTTGCTAATAAACGCTTAAAAACAACAATAACTTTCATCATTTGAATAGTTTAAAAACGTATTTGGAATAGGGTTAACTTAATGTTTAAGTTCCCTGTTTAAGAAATAGAAAACATATGAATCTCATCATTTCATGGGAACGACCTGAGACTGCAATCACAGCTTCAATTTTTGAATTGCAGAATAATTAGGTTGTTTAAAGAAATAACTTGCCTTAAGAATTCTTACTGGACCCATCCAAGCTTCTCCACTCCATTTTCGGTAGAACATTACCGCTTGTCCTTCGGGGTTCCTCACAAACTTAAAACAATGTGGCTGCACATGCTGATGTAGGTCGTGGCTGTGAGGTTGTAGCCACTCTTTAATGCCATACATCCATTCTGGTCTATGTGCCTCGGGGTGTGGTTTGTCTGTGCACCCTTCAAATGACTGACACAGATCTAAAAAATAATCGAATAACGGCTCTTGATTGAACTTACTGAATTGCGATGTTTTGACGTATGGTCCTATAGCTCATACAATGTCAGTTACTGTATGATTGTAGTTACATTAAAGCAAAACTTACCATCAAATGTATATATATTCTGGATCTGAAGTTTCTTTGAAAATATTCCAAATAACGCGTCGATATGTTCGTGCGTATGGCCAACTGGAAGGAAGTTACCTTTAACCTATTTTAAAAGATACATCAATAAAAATTATCATTAATATATAAGATCATTCAATTGTTTTTGAAAATTAACTGCCTTATATCCTCGTAGGTAAAGCTCCTAGGTAGGTTTCTTGAAAATATTAAATTGCTATCTAAAAATGTTACGAGGAGATATATTATTTTTTTGCAAATCACTTTCTTATCATTAGCTGATATAAAATATTTTCATTAATTATGCTAGATCTGCCAAGTTTTTTTAAACGAAACCATGCTTGATGGAAACAAGACCCATGAATTCCTTGATGATATACAGTAGCCAAAGTAAAAAAGGCGCACGAATTTTAGCTCTTAATATTGAATTAAGAAACAAAACTTGAAGCAATAACTGTACCTTATCAAAAATTGATAACTCAACCAAAAGAGACAACAACGTAAAAACATGTCTGTTTTTATTCTCTCGCCAGCAATTGTCCAATTGAAGGTGAAAAACTGGTGGCAAACCATACCGACGGTTAACGATTTCCAGCGTTTGTAGGATGATATTGTTGGTCAAGTTGCTGTCATGGTCCCACTGAAACATGTCAAAAAAACCAAGGTAGAATTTCCCCATCAGACACAGCCCACTGTGTACTATCGCGCCGGTCAAATGTGTACGAAGCTTTTGAAGGTTGGCTGTTGATTTGCATATGCGACAAACATTGGGAATATCAGTCTTAGACTGATCCATACCATCTAAGATTATGGTTAGGTACTTCTCGGGGTGTTTCCTTGCTTTGTAGCGATGCAGATGGTATTTCTCTCTTTCGTTCCTATTTTTAAAAACATTTTTCATTATTAATTATGCAATTTTCCCTGTTTGACAAACACCTATAAAACAGCAACTGTGAAGCGGTCATCATACCAATACAATAGCATTTTCGTACCCAGAACACTCCTTATGCACGGTTAGTGACGAAATTTAAAATTATTTTGTATCCATACTATTTCGATTGTCTATATATCCGAGTATGGAAAATTGGAAATATACAATTATTATTGATCATCAAAATCCATTTCTATTTCCAATAAAGTTCCATACAATTTCCATTCTAAGACCTTATATGGATTTTCTAAATTTTTCCAGGGTACACTCATTTAATTAGAAACACTATGCCATAATCATAATGATAACACTAAGTGAAATATGAACAAAGACCATGTTAATCCACTCTGGTCATCTAATGCAGCTTAAGCGTTCAATAAGACGACGCGAAGTGCCCAAGGTCGCTTAATACGTGTGGCTGATTAATAGTAGTTTTTACAGGAGATAACTGTGTGAATAGTCAGAACTTCAGTGATAGGCCGCTTAATAAAGTAGTCTCTCAATACATGGCTGCTTAATACAGGTATGACTGTATGTCTACACACCAATGTTCAACATATAATAACATTTATTTTGTAATTTTGATGATATATTTCGAATTTCGAAATTTCTCACCACCTGACGATTCCTATACGGATGAAACAGACTGTTGTGGTTTTTTGAGGTAAAACGAAAAACTATATTATGCTCTATCTATATGGTATTGAGCGCTGTTTATATATATATATATATATATATATATATATATATATATATATATATATATATATATATACATACGTAGCATAACAACGTAACTTACATCACCAACGCGATGTGTTGTTCATGCAGATTTTCAATCTTCTTCCTTATGTGTCGTAACTTCTAGCATTTCTTTGTAATGAGTGCATTGATCACACTTTGTGAATCGGTTTTCCTTTAACGAAACAATAAAAAAAATTAAACAATTAAAATTGTATAAATTGTAAAATGGTATCTTGGTTAGATCACAGCTCAGGGCGCAGAGATACTAAAACCTTTAGCATAAATCTATTAACAATTTTTCAGTGCTCTTTTCTCCCTATTACTTAATTATAATTATCGCAATTATAGAATACTAGGCCAATCAAAACATCACTGTTATTCTAATGGTAATATAATAGCAATGTTGCAGTACTTAGCAAAAGCATAAAATAAAATTATTTCATGCCTGACTCAGATCCAAAGTTTTTCCCTAACCTGGGAATACCTACAAAACATGCACCTACGTGTCACGAAATGGACGTGTTTCAATGGCCAGGTATTTTATACTTGTAACAACAATTTCAAAATGTAACAACGGTCATCTTTACCTTGGGGATCACTACATTAGGCAACTGTTTTTCCATTACGTTGTAGAACTGGGATTGACTCACGATGACATGCTCATCAAGTTTACGGCACATTCGCTTATACAAACTTAGTTTTGTGAAACATGAGGGCAGGTGAATTAAAGCACTATCCGGTTGGTGATCACCAATGCTATTTACAAGGAAATTTAGCCAAGCAAGACATTCACATGTCTTTGGTGAGCATCGTTTCTTTCTCTTGTTTCCGTGTTCATATATTTCCACCCCTTTATCAGTATATTCCTTGAAGATAGTTGAAAATCTCCTAACAGATACGCCAAGAGTTGATAGCCAAGCATTCTTGCAAACTGAAACGCCTTTTATCATGAATAATATATTGTTATTTTTCAACAACACTTGTTCTGAGTCGTCAGACGCGAGATGCACTTTCAAATAATCTAGTATAAAATTACGCTCTTTAGTGATATTTGCCAGAGAAAGAAATCTATATCACGATTGCTTGATGTCGACATATCTTAAACTTTTGAAACATTCATTTTCGCAACATGGAGCCATCATTATTTCCCAAACAACATCACACGTTGATCTTTCTTCTATTTAAGATGACCATAACATATTAAATTTAACTAACATTACACATGATTTCAATGACTATACTGCATATACAGTACTTTCATTCTTGTAAACAATGCAACGCACGTGGAAATAATATACTATATATGATAAACTATCAGAAAATATAATAAACTATCAATGATGTACACCCATTGACGTTTAAACATGATGCATTAACCGTTTCGCAGGTTGTTTTTTACATCTGAAATAGCTTGCGTTTGTGCAAATTTTTTCCAAGTTTGAGCCCCAAATTATTTCCACGTTTTGATCAATGAAACCCATTTGTTCATGTGAAACAAGCACGAAATAGTTAATGCATCATTGTTGAACGCAAATGATAGTAATATAGCTACAACCGGAAAGTCAATCATAATAAATAATATTAATTAGTCTTGTAAGGTTATGGAATCAGAAATTAAAGAATTACTGTATTCGATAATTTTGAGAGAGAAAATGTACAATGTTCATTTTGTTACTTCTAACTTATTAACATTTAGGTTTCGGGCATTAGGTCACTAATTGATGGACCATTTGCAATTGTTCGATCTAGATTAGTGAACCGTTCATTATTTTCAGCATTATGCTTGTGTCGCAAACTCTTAATATGCTTTCGCATATCTGTATAACATATCATGCAAAGTTCACATAAAAAGGTTTTCTTAGTTATTTTGTGGTTATCGCACAAGGTATGTTCCATATTTGGGTTATCAAATGGCGATGCTCCCTTCATTGAGTGAAAAAATATTTCGGGCCATTCCTTCATTTCACGATATAAAGGTCTGAACCGACCTTCCATATTTTCTATCTTGAAATATAGGTCAGTTAAACTTCGCACGTAGGGTTCCCGTTTTTCAGAATTGATATCATTTGACTTCCCTACCCTACATCCTTTAAATGCACACTCGCCGCATTCTCTGGACATTCTTTCGATACACAACGGTGAAAGTATTGATTTAGAATAATCTGAACAGCCACCTTCAAGACCAGGTTTTGTGTTGTGTTTTATAGAGGCCTGAACCATTCTGGCAGCACGAGTATTGCTACATTTTTGGTGCATTCTTGGGCTTTTTCTGCTTCGCTGATTGTTTTGAATAATGTGTGTGACATCTTTCGTTAGGAACATAACAGTCTGAGCATGATGGCGTAACAAAGTTTGATTAATCAATTTGTAGTCACTATGTCCAGAGTTGATATTAATAAAAAACACTTTATCCTGGAACCAACAACTCTTATTTCTTTTTGCTAAAATTTACAATGGATGCAATAACAGTCTTAGTAAGTCAGTTTTTAACATCGGAGTCTCAGAGTAGCTATAGGTGGTTATCGTACGTCAGCCCCGCAATTAAAACACAAAACTGATTGATGTACATGATCCTCTTATGTGCAATAGTGGGTTCCAGTAGGTAGATTGAATAGACATGTACATGCAGCGTAAATGAAAGTGGTCTAAAACAATTATGATCAATCAAATCAAATCAATCAAATCCTTATTATCCACAAATTTACGAATACACACTAATTAATTATATAAATACATAAATACGTGGCGAGGAGACCTCTGGAAGCCGGAAGCTTTTAAACAAGGCCACCTCATAGGTGAATGACACTACATTGTATCGACTATTTTATAACACACAAATAAGTATAGTAAATTAGCTATAGAGGCATGCATGAATAAATTCAGACTCGTTTATTTGTTTAGTAGGAAACAGTTAAGAATTTTTTTAAATGAATGTAAACTATTGGAGCTTTTTATTGAAAAAGGTAAAGGGACCTAATGTCGAGAAACCCCGCACTGGACAAATTGTTTCCTATTAGAAAAATAGCTTTTGATCCTTTGCAATGCAATACCACGGATACCATAGTGTTCCAACTTAGAGAACAAAATTTGATGATCAAGAGTGTCAAATACTTTTGACAAATCTAGGATCCGCTTTCCTGACTCTGATTATTTGATTATACTGATGAATTTGAAAAGACATCACTTAATTACATAACTAAAAATCTCATACAAATAAGTGTACAGTTGTGGGCCGCGAAATTTTGACAGAGCCACTGCAAAAGTACGAAGTGTATTCTTATTTTCCTTCACCGAAAAACATTTACACATTGTTATCAGAGCTGTTGTCTGGCATAGTCCAAATATGTAATAGCTACCGTTCGTGTGGAATGAAAATGTTTATATAGCCACAGTCAACATTTGCGACGCTTGTATGGAGTTCATCGCCGAAAGTTTGTAGAGTCTTCGGAAACGCTACTATCAGTTCTGAAATTGCAAATGTTAGCTAACCGCTCACTAAGGAATATAATGGAAAACGTAGCCGAACAAGGGCTGTTTCATGGATTTTGCCCATAATCGCCACTATACGTCCACACTTAAATCTCTAGAAACCGTGATTCCTTCATCGTTTTAGAATGTCAAAGTATGAATTCCATTTTAGATGCTTTGCTTGCCTGGTCAACTACTGTTCTACATGTTAAAATAAACAAGTGTCACGCAAGGCCCTTTTCAAGAACTTATTTATAACTCAATTCCTCTCAGCTATTCAAATATGCAAAAATAATTTAGATAATTTAAGCACTTTAGTTTATTTCACCGAGAGTATATATAGTACAGTATAAGGGACCGGTCATTATTTATGGAAGGTGGGAGGGCAAAAATAAGGGGGAGGGCATATGTGTAAATAAATTACTAAGGGGGCGACAATTTTTTTCAAGAAATGAGGTGGGGGCTGGCAATTGCACCTTGAAAGTGCCTGGCAGAATCCATTTGGTTGTAAATGTTGCGACTAAATCATAATCACCGATTGAAATAGTCTGGATCTCTCTTCCTCCACACGAAAGCTGGGAATGAAGTTGAGATTTATCTTGTCTTTTGTGTGCTGTATGCAAATCAGTCTTCACAATCACTCTGATTGCAGAGATAAATTGACAATGTATTATTACAATCAGGATAAAAACACTCCAGCTTCTTTAATTAATTAGAATTTTCTGCTAATATATATTTTTGGTCGACGTTAATATCTCAGGGGGGGTCATCATTAAATTTCTGCTCTTTTAAAGGGGGCTTTCAATTTTAAAAATTTAGGAAAGAAAAAATTCCCCTCCCCCTTCCATAAATAATGACCGGTCCCTAATATATGCACACTTAATGGATAATTCAAACCATCCACAGACAGCTTCATGCCTTCAACATGAAGTCACATATATACACCTACAAACAAAACCTTAACGACAGAGGCTCAAAAGATAGTTGCATGAAAGTATGCAAAAGCGTTGAAGGAAAGCATGCAAGGATGAAGGTACGCACTACAATTCTGAGTTATTATTACAGGCTTACAGTCACTTATTTTTCACCCTGCTCAGTTTCCTTTGTTCTTATCGGGGGATATATTCAATATTCCCCTCTAATCAATTTCCGTTTAATAATCCCCTCTAATATTCATCTGTAATGTCTTTGCAGCACAAAAAAATGAGAAAAAAAACGTAACAAAGGCAATATGGCATTAAGAATGATTTCTATTCTGACTCATTAACGTGACCTCGCAATGTGAAAAATAAGTATGTTATATCCCCTTTTTGCCTCAAAATAACCTAATATACATACTGTACAGACACTGGGTGTAAAATATAGCTTTACTATATTGTACGCCCAGTATGTAACCATACAAAGCAACTCTACACTCATATATTGCATTGCTAAATCACGGTTAATCGAAGGAGACTGGTTAGGCTAGCCGGCAAACTTCAAAGGGTCTCTGAAATTATGTTGGGAACCCCAAAAATAAATGTCACGTGGTACGATACCTGCATCAACAAGGAGTGATACTAAGAAAACATTAAGAGATTTAGTGTGTTTTGCAAAATTTAAGCGATTTTTATACCTTTTTCGCAAGTTGAAAGCATATTTTTATGGATACACGGCGTTTATGGACATCCCACAGGAAAAATATCAAATTATAATGACTCAAGAACAAAAAATCGAACGTAAAGCACCGAGGTTGTTTGACACTCGTATCGAGTATGGCACACGGTATGAACAGATCAAGCCAAAGCGAGTCTGAAATTTACCTAGAAGATTCTGAAAATGAAGACTATAATCTAGAAGTTACCGTGGCTGTTACGCAGGCTGAATGAGAGGATATATAGGACGAATTTAATGACGCTTTGAGCGAAATACATGGTGAAAAATCGTTCCCTTGTCCAAAGTGTGACAAATTGTGTATTAAAGTTGACTATTAATTTAAAGGCGGCTTAACCAGACACACGAATTCGAAGCATTGCGAATTTTCTTCCCAGCAAACATGACCAGAATTGCATATTTTTGCTACGATACTGTCGCGTCGATTGTGGAATCGATCAAGTCGCAAATTATAAGAGAAAAATTGTGTGGGGTTGAAATGAGCAACAGCGCCAAGACTGCATCATGCACTAAAGCTTTGTTTTGATGCTTTATTCAAGCTAAGTTCTGTTGAAACTTGACCAAGCTGAGCGTGAACCTTTGTCGTATGTCGCAGGCTATATAGTATCAAAACTTTTCCAGACAAATAAACGAAAGTGTGGAGTGTAACACAACGACAAACTAAATTGTGCTTGGAAAATGTCATCAAATTGTTGAGGAAGGTCATACTTTTATATGCAAGGGACTATCTGAACAAGGAAGGGCCTGAAAAGATTAGCTATATCAGCAACATAAACTGTTGACAATCATGTAAATTGTGAAAATGATTGGAAACTATACATGTGTTATCATTATACCACACTCTGACCTCGACTGACATTAGCTCTTGCAGCAACAATATGTAGGCTCCAAAAATGAGAGGTGTACCAGATTACCAGAGTTACATATATGGTAAATGCTCTCGATTAGGTCTAATATAAACATAGATATGTATATTTTTCATTTGAAACTGCCATTTACAAAAAAAAAACTTCAACACCATACTTATGCCAATAATAGGGTGACAGAAGTTGCTGTTGATATTGGTAATTTGGTGGTGTACACTGGTCAGATACATATATGCTCTAACTAGTTTTTCACATTTTAGCATTTTGACTATTGTTGGAAACCACTGTTTTGCAAAGGATACACTCTAGCAGTTGATATGAGTTAACTAAAGTAGGCAAAATGCCAAAGTGGAAAAATAAGCCTACCTGTTCATTCACTGTCATATTAAAGCAACATTCTGGCCAGGATAATTATCATTAATCAACTACAAGATTAAATATTCCACAATCATGCATTTCCACTGTATTGCTAGCATGCAGGTTAATCACCTGTGAAAATACATTCGCAGTAATTCTTACAACTGATAGTCTTATTAGATTGTTTTATCAATATGAATATTTTAAATAGTTGTATGTTATTAGAACGTTGACGGTTGTAAATACTGTCAGTGTATGCACAAATATGTTCCTCGCCATGTAATAATTTATAGTTTATAACAAATTTTGATTGTGCACAATTAACCCTGGAAAAACATACTTCAGATAAACAGACACCTTGTGGCTCAGTGCCATGTTCTACAACACATTTCGCAGCATGTTGTAACCGGTGCTGCACACAGATAAGGATACCATAACAAATTATCAAGAATTGCAAATACTTTGTGTTGCTGATGAGGTATACAACAATGGTACTCTGAATAATGTAAATATTTTTATTACTATACATATTACTACATTCATTCCATACTTTATGTGTGTGTTGGTGTTATGTACTAAGGTGGATATGATGTTTGTGGTGTTACTCTGAGTGTGCATCCACACCGGCCAAGTTGAAAAGTCCGCCTAACCACAGTGGGATTCGAACCCGCAACCTTTGGGATACTAGTCCAATGCTCTGCCAACTGAGCTATGAGGTCATGTCGGTTCAAGTTGGTGATATTTCGGAACTGAGTTTAGTTCCTTCGGCTCAGTTGGCAGAGCATTGGACTAGGATCCCAAAGGTCACAGGTTCGAATCCAACCGTGGTCAGGCAAACTTTTAAGCTTGTCTGTTGGGGATGCACACTCAGAGTAT